ATATAGTCAAAATTATTAGCTGTGTTTGTTCGTTGTATCATTTTCGAAAATAACTTTGACAAGCTAATTATTGATGACAGTGACGGATTCTATTTCAGGTAAGAATTTTATGAACAATAATTAGACACCAATTTTTTTGTCAATTTTACTATCACCGCTGTTTGAGATGTGTTCAACAAGGATAGAGAAAAATCACGTGACTTTGAAATTGTATTTGTTGGACTTTATATGATTAAGGCCCATTTGTACCAGATGGAAGTTCAGTTGTAGTGGATCTTCCTCATAAATGTTCGACTTCAGTTCGTTATATTGGGTAGGAGATGATATTGTGTGACGGCAGCTTCTGGCAGAGGCGCCGACTACGTGGGTGCTCGGGGGTTCGAGCACCCACGAGACCTAAACAGTGAGTGCGAAGCATCCATGAACATAGACTCAAAAACTGATAATCCTCTCTAGTTCCTGGAAAACTGGTTAATTTTGTACCTCGGGTTCCTGAAATCTGGTTAACCAAATGTCAAAATAGTTACCGGCCATCGGATGTCGGTTCTGTTGGTTTTATCAAGGTTTTATCTGTAACTTCTGTCAATTATGTTTTATTTCCATATTTGCGTTCCCCAAAGTAACCGGAATTTTCAGTAAACATCTGTTGAGCGATTCAATTACTTTAGCTCTGTTCCAGCAGACATGAAAACCTTTCTAGAACGGTAATTTCCAGTCGATCAATCTATTTGTCAATTAGGAAAAACGTTCAACTTATTGAAAAATAGGTGGGCAACTGGAAATTATTCGTTCTGGTACGGTTTTCATGTCTGTTGGGACAGAGCTAATGGCTAAGGTTTGGTTATATTTGGACCATAGCCCTATATAGGTTATGTTCCGATATTAACTCTGTCAGTACTGAATTTACTCTAGACGATCAACTGGTACCCCAGAAAGTTCATGCAGTGATTTATCGTGGTATTTGAAGGCAAAATATATAAAAAAAAGTAATTAAGTATTGAGTACTAGTTTCTTTTTCAATTCAAATCAAGTACCAGTACAAATATAAGTACCGGGTGTCTATATTTTGCGCCCACACCTATATCAGCTGCTTGAAAAGATACCCAGAAATGTCAAATGTGAAAGTTCTAGGTAATATCAGAAAATTTGCAATTAAGTTAGTTACAAGTATACAGGGTGTATCACAAAAGTATGGCGAAGCAAAGTTAAACTTTTTTAAATGAAACACCCCGTATATTATTGACCTATCGGATTAGCCGTTACAATATTATTTTCAATAGGTACACTGGATTCAGTCGATTCAGTACTAAATGATCACAAACCCTGTTGAAATTGGAACGGCAAATGACAGTAAAATCAGCACAGTAAATCCAGTACTGGCAGTTGTTATCAATCAATTCTTCCATTTGTATTCGAATTCGTCAATTTTGGGGTTGGCCCGGGTCAGATCCCCAAAATTTCAGATCAAAAGCGCCGCCGATCTAGAAATTTTCCCACGGTATCGAAAAACTTCCCAGGCTCAAGTGCCCGCGGCTATCAGACCAATACCCACCTCTACTACGTAAAAACTCCCCTCCAGCACAGTCATCATACCACTAAAGTTCGCCTTACGAGTCTAGGACTATGGAAAGAATGCGGATAAAAAAATTGCAATATTGCCTATTTGACTTCCAATAAGAAATACCTTAATATTTATTTATCTTATACACCTACATTTATAAGGAAAAAGTAATATTCAAAAACGTTGCACGCTCGCCTATGACAAGCAGCATAAAGCTCGAAATGGATGGTGTTATGTCCCCTTGCTCTTCAGACGTCGTAGTGCTAGACGCGTAAGGCGAACTTTACCCACCTCCACTATACCTCCTTCCATGAAGCTCCTACCCTGAGGAGGCACTTTTTACCCACCTGCACTGTAAACCCTCTTCCGTAAAGCCCTCTATTAATCTATTTTCAAAAGGCTCTTACCCTGAGATGGCACTTTATTATATCCCTTCACTTTCTTGAAAACTAAAAAATATTTAACCAATTCTTGCATTTGTATTCGAATTCGTCAATTTTGGGGTTGGCCCGGGTCAAATCCCCAAACTTTCATATCAAAAGCGCCGCCGATCAAGAGATTTTCCCACGGTATCGAAAAACTTCTCAGGCTCAAGTGCCCCCCGGCTATCAGACCAATACCCACCTCTACTACGTAAGTGGTCCACCAGATTCACAAGCAAAATGTTATTATTGCAATGGAGTTAAGAACACTATTGACGAATACAAATGCAGGAATTGTTGAAATATTCTTTAGTTTTCAAGAAAGTGAAAGGATGTGGAGTAAAGCTTTTTGACGTAGTGGAGGTGGGTATTGCTCTGATAGCTGTGAGGTGGGTATTACTCATAAACAGGTGCATTAATTTTATTGCAATAATAAATATTTTGCTTGTGAATCTGCTAGTCTGATAGCTGGGGGCACTTGAGCCTAGGAAGTTTTTCGATACCGTGGGAAAATCTCTAGATCGGCGGCACCTTTTGAAAATAGATTAATGGTGGGCTATGATGGCTATGCTGGAGGGGGGCTTTTACGTGGTAGAAGTGGGTATTGTTCTGATAGCTGTGAAAACACTCTACTCTTTACTCTTATAGTCGTCCTTGTTTTCCAATTTTAGCAGACACCGCAAAAAACTTACGCAAGCACCAAGCAACACTAGCTCCCGCAGCTGGAAAACGAATATGGAAAGGTGTGAACTACGTTGTTTGAAATGTATTACCATTCCCTTCTTAGACACTCGTCCGAATGTAAATTGAAGAATGCTGGTAAACGTTGTTGGGCGTGGCTTCTGGAGAAATTTTTTCGCCACTGGCGGGCTGTTTACCCCTCCTCATACATGCCGGTGCATGAACATCAGCACCCACGAGGTTTTCTGAAACCCGGCGCCCCTGGCTTCTGGGATGCGGATACACTGATTTCTTCGGCATAGGCTGGACATATTAGTTTGTAAAGGTTTGCTCGATGATCCAGTAATTTTCTATAGAAGGTATTCTAGAAGTTCGTCTATATAATTTCACATAATCTTGAAATATGTATTTCCAGTTTGTTTTCCTAAGTTATTATTTCGTCTAGTCTGCGTTTCGTTGGATGTTGCTGGAGCTTGCAACATAAACTCAGTTTGGTGATTTCAGGTTTTGATTAGGTCTCTTTTTTATTTTTTATTTCAAGGTTTAATATTTTTAGATTTAGGTTTTATACGCACACACTTCCCTATTTTGTTACTGCTCTTAAGGCAACTGGGCCCATAACCTGATGTGATTTTTCTCTTACTTCTATAAAAAGATTTCAAGCAATCCAAAACTTAAAAATATGTGCTCAAAACCCAGATCATCAAAACTAAGATTATTTGGAACACCTTGAGAAATTAGACTTCAAAGTTGGAATTTAATCGAGATTTTATAAAAAACTTCAAGATCAAATAACTCAAGAACTACAAGTAATAGAAATATTTTTTAAATAAGGTATTGAAGTACTCAATGAGAGCTACAAACTTAGAAAAATTTGACTTGATTCCTCCTATATTTACTGAAATATTGTCAATGAAAGATTTTGCATAAAAAATCAAAGGCGGGTAGCCTTCAAAAATGAAAACTTTCAAATTTCCAATTTTTGTAAAATAGCCTTCTCCAATCGAAAGAGGAGGTTAAAATTAGTCGGAAACAAATCCTATATTATTTTCAGGAGGTTGATTTTGTGAGAAAAAAAATTGAATAGCAAATCTCAATTTTGTCCCAGGAAATTTTCCTAAAACCTGACATGGTATCACAAATTTGCTCACAGTTTTGGTAATTTTTAACGAATCAACTTGTATTATAGATTTTCGGAAAGGAGAATAAATTCTCTATAAAACCTCAAAAAACTAGATCAATTCCTTTTACAGGCTTTGAGAAATTAGGCTTCAAAGTTGGAATTTGATTGAGATTTTTATCAAAAACTTTAGGATCAAATGACTGAAAAACCACAAGTGACAAAAAAATTAAAAACCAAATATCAATTTTGAATAATACGAGGTAGACAAAGTGTGAAAAATGTTATTCCATAATCAGTTCTGGAAGGTAAAGAAACCTAAAGTCTTCCAGCCAGAAATGGCAACATTACCAGAATGCTGTATGTAAAATGAATTAGTAAATTAGATTATTGTACCTACAAGTGAAAGTGAAAAGAATCCCATTCAAATGGTCCAAAATCGAAAAGATTATTCCACACTTTGAGCAATTGATCAACGTCCTTACAAGAAGAGAAGATCCACCTTGCATAATAACAGGTAGCCATTATAAGGTCGATGGACCAACAAACAAGAAAAACTAATCACAAAATTTCAGCCAAAAACAAACATAATTATGTATTTTTCTCACAGATCCTGATGCCATATTGCCAGTGACATATGGTCCGAATAAAACAAATATCGACATATCGGGCCCTTATCGGTACATTAGCCAGGACCGGATCGACTATATATGAAAAAGACCTAGAGGGGTTTTTGTTAGTGGCATATTCAGACAAGTGTGAAATAATCGGATCCATTTCGGATCGAGGATTTTACAATTAAATTATTATAATCAGGTTCCAGTGGTATGTTTTATGTCATCCTGAGCTCAAAAGTTTATTGATTCTATAATAGCGAATCAAGAGCCGGGAATAATCAAGATTCGAACAATATTCAAGATTTCATGGAAGAACTGCTTATAACACTAATTTCAAAATAATAAATAACTAAAAAATGGCCAATCTTATGACATCGTAAGGTTCCTGAACCCATAAATCCAGGCAACGGAATAAAAACAATGATAAGTTTTTTAAAATTTCACTGGAATAATCCAGTCCTGGATTGGTATATTGCACTTGATAAGTTCCAGAAATCGGGCTAATGGCAAAGTGGAAAGGTAAACACAAGATAAAAGAGTTGATATAAAAGGCCAACCGAAGATCATTCGGGATGTTTTTTTATCGTTTAACGAGCCGAGATGGAAAGGTACGGGGCGGAAAACGAAAAGGGCGGCTGCCAGAAAAGGGTGAAAATTAAACGGTACAAGGCGAACGCACGCGAAAGGAACAGAATGCACGGATTGAACGCTGCTTTGGATGCTTTAAGACGGTAAATGAAAAGTTTTCTTTGATTTGATTATTTGATCACACCTATACTTATTTAGTAGTAGAGTGCTCCTCTTAATATATTTTGATTTTTGTGGGCGCGTCGGAGTTACAAGCTGAAATTTTCACAAAATGAAGGTTTTATTATGGTAATTCAAAATCCCAAGGTTATACAAAATCAGAAAGGGCAAAAGGCCACTATATTTGAAAATTGAGATTATTGCATGAACGTATAGAATATCAATTTATGACTGTTCTCATACATTTCGTAATGGTAGATTACAAAAATAAAAAGAAAATCCTATTTTTGGATCTGGAAAATTTTCAAAATCCTGACATGGTCATGAACAATTGCCCATATCTTTGGTAAATATTGAGCAAATTGCAAATAATTATACACCATTGAAAAGAGCATTAAATTCTCTATAAATCTGTGCAAAATTGAGTTCGATAGCTGGAATAGTTTTTGAGCAATTGAGCCTCAATTTTGTCAAAAACCTCGAACTCAATTTGCTCAAAACCTAGAAATCTGGAAATATTATAAATTACAGTATTCATAGGGGATACCCTTATGAAAAATTCGATTTTTTTATTTTTTAGTTTTGCTCAATTTTGACTTTATGAATCGATAGAGCGAGTCAAAATTAGTGGCAAACAACCCTGATATCATTTTCAAATGGCCATTTCAAGCAGACACAAAAATAAAAATAAAATCCTATTTTTGGCTCTGGAGAACTTTCAAAATCCTGACATGGTCATGAACAATTGCCCATATCTTTGGTAAATTTCAAGCAAATCAAAGTAAATTATACATCATTGGAAAGAGCCTTAAATTCTCTATAAATCTGTGCAAAATTGAGCTCGATGGCTTAGATAGTTTTTGAGCAATTGAGCCTCAAAGTTACCTTTTAGTCCAAATTTTGTCAAAAACTTCAAACTCAATTTGCTCAAAAACTAGAAATCTGGAAATATTGTTAATTACAGGCCATTTAGAACTTGATAAAAGCTACAAATTCTGGAAATTTTAATGCAATTTGCTCAACGGCTACCGAACAATTGAGGTTAGAATATTTTGAAATCAGAATTCAAAGGGGGTACCCTTATGAAAAATTCGATTTTTTTATTTTTTAGTTTTGCTGAATTTTGACTTTATAAGTCGATAGAGCGGGTCAAAATTAGTGGGAAACAACCCTGATATCATTTTCAAATGGCCATTTTAAGCAGACACAAAAATCCTATTTTTGGCTCTGGAAAATTTTCAAAATCCTGATATGGTCATGAACAATTGCCCATATCTTTGGTAAATTTCAAGCAAATGGAAATTAATTATATATCGTTGGAAAGAGCCTTAAATTCTCTATAAATCTGTGCAAGATTGAGCTCCATAGATTAGATAGTTTTTGAGCAATTGAGCCTCAAAGTTGACTTTTAATCCAAATTTTGTCAAAATCTTCAAACTCAATTTGCTCAAAAACTAGAAATCTGGAAATATTGTAAATTAGAGGTCATTTAGAACTTGATAAAAGCTATAAATTCTGGAAATTTTAATGCAATTTGCTCAACGGTTACCGAACAATTGAGGTTTGAATATTTTGAAATCAGAATTCAAAGGGGATACCCTTATGAAAAATTCGATTTTTTAAATTTTTTAGTTTTGCTCAATTTTGACTTCATGAATCGATAGAGCGGGTCAAAATTAGTGGGAAACAACCCTGATATCATTTTCAAATAGCCATTTTAAGCAGACAGAAAAATAAAAAGAAAATCCTCTTTTTGGCTTTGGAAAATTTTCAAAATCCTGACATGGTCATGAACAATTGCCCATATCTTTGGTAAATTCCAAGCAAATTGAAGTAAAATATACATCATTGGAAAGAGCTTTAAATTCTCTATAAATCTACAAAATTGAGCTCCATAGCTCGGAAAGTTTTTGAGCAATTGAGCCTCAAAGTTGACTTTTAGTCCAAATTTTGTCAAAAACTTCAAACTCAATTTGCTTAAAAACTAGAAATCTGGAAATATTGTAAATTACAGGCCATTTAGGACTTGATAAAAGCTACAAATTCTGGAAATTTTAACGCAATTTGCTCAACGGTTACCGAGCAATTGAGGTTTGAATATTTTGAAATCAGAACTCAAAGGGGATACCCCTATGAAAAATTCGATTTTTTTATTTTTTAGTTTTTCTCAATTTTGACTTTATGAATCGATAGAGCGGGTCAAAATTAGTGGGAAGCAACCCTGATATCATTTTCAAATGGCCATTTTAAGCAGAAATAACAAGAAAATCCTATTTTTGGCTCTGGAAAATTTTCAAAATCCGGATATGGTCATGAACAATTGCTCATATCTCTGGTAAATTTCAAGCAAATTGAGGTAAATTATACATCATTGGAAAGAGCTTTAAATTCTCTATAAATCTGAACTGGATAGTTCGGATAGTTTTTGAGCAATTGAGCCTCAAATTTGACTTTCAGTCCAAATTTTGTCAAAAACTTCAAATTCAGCTTGTAACCCCGATGCGCCCACAAAACTCATTTCAAGAAGGCTTTAACTACTATTATAATTCATTTTAGATGCATGCCAATTCAAACAACGCACTCGGAAGTGAATTCAAATCCCCAAAAATTATCAAAAATTGAAACATTAAGGCTGGCAAGGAATTACATAACAGCGATGTCTCAAACTCTACACGAAGGACGTTCAATGGATTTGACCAGGTTTATTAGAATTTTGTCTAGAGAATTGAGCCAAACAACTGCGAATTTGTTGCGTGGTACTTTGATGGTACCACCAAGTGAGGAGCAAATGTACAAAAGACATTATTATAGCGGTTACTGCTACGAGCCTTTTTATAATGATAGTCGATTTTATCCGAATAATAGCTTCAGTATGCATTAGCGATATTTTATCGACAGTGTTTGCTCAGCAATAAGCGATAACAGCATTAGCGTTTACGCTCAATTTATTAATTAATTTATTGTTTTTTTCTGTTATATTTTATCGCAACAGTCTAGTCAGCCGAATGATCTCGTTATGTGTTTTGTTTTATCTGTAAATAAATGGTTTTTGCACAAATTAATCCAATATTTTCAGTCCCTGTAAGAACTTTTCCTGATGAGAATAAAGAGAAAATGCTTTGAATTATGTATATATATAATCATAATGACCGACAAAATTAATTGATTGATTTGAAAGGGTTGTGAACCACAGGTGCTTCGTGTGTACCTAACAAAAATGTCTGTAAAACCAAAACCAAGTTCCAAAATCACAAAGTTCCGATTTTTGTTAAAATGTTTCCCGTTAGCCTTTTTCCCCCGTTCTCTCGTACTTATAAGCGACCATTTCCAGAGAGGGAAAATTAAATTTTCGTATATTCGAAGGGTATCAAATTATCGATGGTTGTAAAATAAAAGCACTTAAAAGTCAATCATGAATAATCTTTTCAATCGGTTTTAATGGGAAAAAATCAGACTCCCCCGCTTTATCAAATAAAAAATTTGTACCAATTAAAAGGCTGTCGGCGGTTTTGTAGCCCTATAGACGAATTGACATATATGGCGATGTTTAACAAGCAGATTAAGAAGTTGGAATGCGGAAAAGTTTTTCCAATAACAAGATTTTTTGTACCTGCTATAGGGGAAAAAGTTTCCTTTTAACGTGTGCCAAAAAATCAAACATCCTATATGAAATTTTTGCCCTCTCAACCGGAATAATCTTCTTGTATAGTTTTGGCAGAGATTGAAAATTTATTTTTTAGCGAATTAATGAAAAGAAGAAGAAAATCTCCAAGTTGCCATGAGGAAATGTCGGGTTGTGTGGCAATTTCTCAAAATCACCGGTGCATTGTCGCAATACAATTCAACGTTGTAAAATTACGAACCGGGAGAAACCGCACAAAAGGAGACTGGGGGGATAAAGTGGGAGAAATGGAGAATTTCATCCGACCTATTTTGAAGCTGGGAGAACGGGAGGAATTTTGATAAATAAAGGATTTTTGGTTTTAGTTTGAAGCGGTTTATGCGACTTTTTTGATGGTTTCCTTTTGACCATGAATTAGTGATTTTTTCAATTATAGAAACAGTGTATTTGCTTTGAATCAGCCATTAATCCAATCGGTATCAACTTGAATTTTCATATTTTTTTTCTATTCCCGGCTCTTCATTTTTCCTTATTTCTTTATTTTGTTTTGGCAGAACAGTATGACATGACATGGTCTTATTAAATTATAAGGTAGATACCTTCTTACTAAAACGATGAAATTTCAAATTTTTTTTTGTCGAGATTTTGTGTCCTAATGGTCAATCAACATACCCCAAACTCCATACACTAAATTATTCTCAGATTTGAAGCCGAAATCTATGAAAAAAGGCTCTCAGAAATATTGAAAAATTGATAAATCACCCCAAATTGCGTAACACGATTTTATCTCAGGAAATATAAGTGCAAATGAGCTGAAATTTTCAGAGATTGTAGTCCCTTGAAAAGGATAAAATTCAGTGAAAGATTCAGCTTTCCATCTATAATAGAAAAAAAGTTATGACCTTTCAAAGTTTTCCAAAATCTAAATCATAAGGTAGGTAGGTACCTTCTTACTAAAACGATGAAATTTTAAATTTTTTTTTGTCGAGATTTTGTATCTCAATGGTCAATCAACATACCCCAAACTCCATACACTAAATTATTCTCAGATTTGAAGCCGAAATCTATGAAAAAAGGCACTCAGAAATATTGAAAAATTGATAAATCACCCCAAATTGCTTAACACGATTTTATCTCAGGAACTATAAGTGCAAATGAGCTGAAATTTTCAGGGATTGTAGTCCCTTGAAAAGGATAAAATTCAGTGAAAGATTCAGCTTTCCATCTATAATAGAAAAAAAGTTATGACCTATCAAAGTTTTCCAAAATCTAAATCATAAGGTAGGTACCTTCTTACTAAAACGATGAAATTTCAATTTTTTTTTGTCGAGATTTTATGTCCTAATGGTGAATCAACATACCCCAAACTCCATACACTAAATTATTCTCAGATTTGAAGCCGAAATCTATGGAAAAAGGCACTCAGAAAAATTGAAAAATTGATAAATCACCCCAAATTGCTTAACACGATTTTATCTCAGGAACTATAAGTGCAAATAAGCTGAAATTTTCAGGGATTGTAGTCCCTTGAAAAGGATAAAATTCAGTGAAAGATTCAGCTTTCTATCTATAATAGAAAAAAAGTTATGACCTTTCAAAGTTTTCCAAAATCTAAATCATAAGGTAGGTACCTTCTTACTAAAACGATGAAATTTTAAATTTTTTTTTGTCGAGATTTTGTATCCCAATGGTCAATCAACATACCCCAAACTCCATACACTAAATTATTCTCAGATTTGAAGCCGAAATCTATGAAAAAAGGCACTCAGAAAAATTGAAAAATTGATAAATCACCCCAAATTGCTTAACACGATTTTATCTCATGAACTACAAGTCCAAATAAAATGAAATTTTCAGGGATTGTAGTCCTCTACTGGAATAAGAATCGCTGAAAATTTCAGCTTTTCATGTATGATAGAAACAAAGTTATGATTAGGTATTCAAAGTTTCCAATTTCTTGCAAAATGAATTCTCATTATTCTTGTATTTTAGAGAATTCAAGAGCCTAGTGCCTGGAATAGACAAAATTTGAAAGTTTTTCAGTATTTTTCAACAAAATGTAGCCTGTAACTTCGTTAATATTCAACGAATCGACTTAAATCAAGCACCTTTAGAAACTCAGTTAAATTGTCTACAAATCCATACAAAGAAATATAATATGGTCAAGAGAAAACATATAAATTTAAAAAAATTTCAATGCATTAGATGTCTTTTCTGAAAACTCAATTTCTATAACCAAAAAGTGAAACACAATATAATTAGTAAACTCAAAATCAATTCTCTTTAAAGCTTGCCAATTTTCCAAAAGCCTATAATTAATTTGTTTTAATCGCATTTGAACAGAGAGGGTGAAATTTGAATTGAATGAAAGTCGGACTGGCAATTAGTTTGACTTTCAATCTTTTGACGAGGAAAAATTGGCTTTTCTCTATAATAGGCACATGCACAAATCGATATTATTGTTACCTCTCGTTTTGGTTATTTTTCGAAAAAAATCTCATTAAAGCTCGTCCGTTGACAGTCTCATTATTTTCTGATTAGAGAAGCTTTTGTTGTTGTTGTAGCGCAAAAAAACGCTGGATTTTTATAAGCTGCCGCTCTAAAATTCTCATGACAGGAATAAAAGGCGGCAATATTTAGTACAAATTGTTATTAAAAAATAATGAGCCAACCATCATTATTCGGCAAACACGAAAAAGATCTGATTTCCATATTTTTGATGCAAATAGGAAGGGAGAGCCACATTTCTCCCGTCAATTACAATAATAATTTCGTTTTTGGTTGGGTGAAATCGTATTTAATAAACTTAGAGGTAAATTAAATCAATTACAAAAGTATAGGACAAAAAGGTATTTTTGAGGATGGACAAAAATTGAAAATGCATGTATCGCGTCAACGTGAATAACAACCCTCTCTCTGAAAAAGAAAAAAAAAAAACGAGCTCCGATACAACGTAGAGTCATTATTCACTTCGTTGCGAACCGAAAAACTGTCACAGTTGATATTTCATCTACCCCTCTTAGTCTATATGCAAGCTGAATTTTCAACAGGAAATAACTTCACGTATAGGATAGGAAAAGGTTAAATTTGACCCCTTAATGAAACAATACAAATTTGTAGATTTTTACACTCAGTTCCCCAGTTACAAAGTTTTATTAAAAATAATATTATTCTTTTCGGTGTGCTGCCTGCGGCAACGTTTTGTCAGAGAACAATTTCCCAAGGAAATGTAGAAGAAAAGAAAACGGCATCCATTATGCAATGTTCACCTGAAACGGGTCCCCGAAGGCGCTGAGCAGACGGTGGAAATTAGCAAAGAAAAAATATTAAAAAAAAAAACGGAAGCCCGAATATAAAAGTTGCAATAATAAATCTAGAAGTAGGTACCCACCGGTCTTGGCAACACAATAATAATACATTGGGTGATTTACATCTTTCGAAATGTATCATTGCAAAGGCGATTATCGAAAGCTATAGGCTTTCGTGCACTCTTCCTGGTGGTTGAATTAATAACGAGATAACCGTAGGGCTAAAGTTAACATGTATGGTTTTTCATAGGTATTTAACCGTGCGTATACCTACCTACTTCGCTTTAGGGCCGATGCGAGATACCGAAACGCATTGACGTAGGAACAAAATGTGAAAATTTCTTTTAAGTATTATTTTAAAATATCCGAGATAGGTTTCCAGCATGAAATAAGTCCAAAATTTAAAGTACAAATAGTGATGAGAGAGAGGTAAATTGATTTTCTTTAGAAAAACCATCCAGCGAATCAAGAGCCGATAATGATCAAAATATGATTATTACCGGCTCGTGATTTGCTGGATAATGTTTCTAGAAGCGAGTGTTGTCCATGCATACCTAGGTAGGTAGCCCTAATTTTTAAATTTTTGGATTTTGCAATGTTTGACTTTACCAATCAAAAGAGGAGATCAAAATTAGTAGACAAACATTTTTGCAACTTTGTTTTTAGAGTTTTAAAGCCTTGTAAAAAAATTAAAACAATTTTTGTAATTTTTGGGCTCAAAAAAGTTCAATAATCTGACATTCTTTCACAAAGTTGCTGATTACTCGGTTATTATTGTGACAAATATGATGTAAAATTATATATTCTGAATCAGAATTAAATTATCTTCAAGATAAAATAAGACTCAATTTTATATCTTAAATACTTCTGAAGATATTGAAGCTCAAAGTTGAAACTTTACCTCAAATTTTACAAAAGCTTCCAGGCGGATTATCTTGAAAACAAAGCCCTTGGGCTCGGAGTCTAAAGTAACCTTTTTTGTAGCCCTTATTAAGAGCTACAATTGGGCAAAAAATTCATGCCAATAGCTTCACTGGTTTCGAAAATATGGCCCTTTGAAATATTTGAAAATCAAATTTTCATGCATACCCCTTTGGAAAAATTCGAATTTTTAAATTTTTTGGATTTTCCAATTTTTGACTTCACCAATCGAAAGAAGAGGTTAAAATTAGTAGAAAAGCATTTTCAGAACTTTCCTTTTTGGGTTTTAAAGCCTTGTTAAAAAATAAAAACGATTTTTGCAATTTTTGGGCTCACAAAAATTTCAATAATCTGACATTCTTTCACAAAGTTGCTGATTACTCGGTTATTATTGTGACAAATATGATGTAAAATTATATATTCTGAATCAGAATTAAATTATCTTCAAGATAAAATAAGACTCAATTCTATATCTTAAATACTTCTGAAGATATTGAAGCTCAAAGTTGAAACTTTACCTCAAATTTTACAAAAGCTTCCAGGCGGATTATCTTGAAAACAAAGCCCTTGGGCTCGGAGTCTAAAGTAACCTTTTTTGTAGCCCTTATTAAGAGCTACAATTGGGCAAAAAATTCATGCCAATAGCTTCACTGGTTTCGAAAATATGGCCCTTTGAAATATTTGAAAATCAAATTTTCATGCATACCCCTTTGGAAAAGTTCGAATTTTTAAATTTTCAGTTTTTCGAATTTTTGACCTCACCAATCGAAATAAGAGGTTAAAATTACTAGAAAAGCATTTTCGCAACTTTTCCTTTTGGGTTTTAAAGCCTTGTTGAAAATAAAAACGATTTTTACAATTTTTGGGCTCAAAAAAATTTTTCTGACATTCTTTCACTAAATTGCTGATTACTCGGTTATTATTGTAGCAAATATAATGTAAAATTATATATTCTGAATCAGAACTAAATAATCTTCAAGATAAAATAAGAATCAATTCTATATCTTGAATACTTTTGAAGATATTGAGGCTCAAAGTTAAAACTTTGTCTCAAATTTTGCAAAAGCTTCAAAGCCGATTATCTTGAAAAAGAAGTCTTTGTCTCAATTGCCAGAGTCCCAGCTAGAACCCGAAAAATGAAAATAGAGATAAAAAGTCAAAAAAGTTGACAGAAACTTTTTCTGATAATTTTTCTTGGAATCTGATAATTTTGTTCTCGAATCCTGATAATTTTAAATTTGACATCTGACAACACTGAGAAGCGATCAAGGGCCTCTGATAGTCCAAATTTGAACTAAAATTTGGACTCTTGATTTCCTTCAGAAGATCCATTCAGTGTCCAGCGAATTAAGAGCCGAAAAATTTGGACTTTACTGACTCCTTGATTGCATTCAGAAAAATTATATGACAAATCATGAGCCGGTGATTATGAAGATTTCTTCAAAGACTCTTGTTTTGCTGGACAATTTTTATTAGAAGTCTTCAAGTTTGAATTTGGAGTCTTGATTTCTTTCAGCAAGTCAAGATTCGATAATAATCAAAATATGAATCATTACCAGAACTATATACTAATGAAAAGTGTATGTTCAAAGGGAAACGAATGGTAATTGGTTTCCTGGTGTCATTTTGGATAAGGTTACAGATAGAAATCACAAAATGCAAATGAATAATGGTTCAATCCTCATTAGAAATTGCAAATTTAATTAAAAAAAACTCTACACAAAACCCCCCAAATGTATAGGTAACTGCTAGAAATCATCATTCATTAGCAGGAGAGATAACATTGATAATAGTAATAATATCGAAAGCAGTACTATAAAAATCAAAAAAGGAAACTAGATACGTTATTTGAATTATATAAAGAAGGAACATGAAAATAAAAATAGTGAACAGGTTGAAATTAATAGATAGTGTCAAACCTCAGGACGACGACAGTACTTAAACGTTAATTGTGAACAGGATGATGAAGAGGCAATGATTGAAGAACCAAATGTTTCGCACAGTGAGGTTATTATGACCAACATAAGTGATGATAGTAATTCCGATAGTAATAGTGACTCTGGTGAACATTATCAAGAGTGTATAACTACACCTTTTCCATATGTATTTCAGATACCGTCAGTTTTATTTCAGAAAGCGTCAATTGTATTTCAAATTAGTTAATTTAATTTCGGAAAGAGTCAATTGTATTGTAGATTAAATAATTGTATTTCAGAAAACGTGAATTATATTTTAGAATTTGTCAGATGATGTAGTTCAGAAATCATCAGTTGTATTTCAGATAATAATGGATATTTATTTTATTAGGAGTAGGTATAAGAAATACTATGTAATGTGACGCGCATGGAAATTTGAACGCTGAGCGCATCAGGTACCTACACAGATTTTCCCAAATCGAAACAACCTAGGTGTATAGGTGACCCATTATAAATTTTATCCAATACACTGAATCGATGACATCTGAAATTCAAATGACGTTTTCTGAACCACAACCACAGATTAATCTGAAGAGAAAAATTCTTTAAAAAGTTACTATGATTATCAGAGCTGTGAGGCAAAATGTTTCTCAGTGTCGTTTTTGAAAAATTTTCCCTCACTTCAATTTTTCAATTCTGAAGCTTCTTATTATAGCTACAATAATATTGAAAACAAATTAAAATCGTAATTAACAAGTTTGTATATGATTTAATTGACTTTAATTAGAACCTAATTACGTTCGAATCAAATCGGCATTACTTACCGAATCTGTAAGGCAAAATCTGAGACAAAATTATGTTAAATCGTTTACCAAAGATATTAGTAAAGCAACCCTGGTCTATAGCTAGCGACATTGATCAAGTAAAAAAGCAATTCTCTCTTCATTGACTTACCAGAACAAAATCATTGATTTTGGCCTCCAAGGTTTACAAACTGCTACAATAAAATAGAGCAAATTTGTCAAATCCTGAGCAATTACATATCATTGAAAAGGACATTTTCTCTATAAACTATGTAAAATCACTTTTCGATGTCTCATCAAAGAGCTATCAAGAACTTTGATCAAAAACTGATATAGTCGTCGCCACAGATATTCGAGATTCCTACAAAAAAAACTATTTTTTTGTCGGGGATGCTCGCATAAACAAACCGCAGCAAAAACTCCACAGATGAGGGTTGAGAAAACATTTAGTCCAAGAGCATCAATTAAATTTATTTTGCATAAAGTATTATCGTATTGTTTTGGATTCGATTAAGTACTTAATTTCTTGCATTAAATATTTAAGAATATTGAAAAATAATTTACAATAATTTAAACCGAATAATTTCAAACCAATATAATCTTTGTACTCAAGCGATTCCTAACACGTGCTCCCTGACTAAATGCAGGCCCGCTGATAAATATAAACTTACTTTTTTGTACGAATCTCGAATACTATACAATTAATTTCTAGGCCACAAAATTAATAATATTCCTGTTGAAATTTATTCCAAACAAAACCCTGTAATATATACAAAATGTAATATATACAAATCTACTTATATATATAAATAATTACAATTTTTTACATTGTTTCCTTTTTTTCTTAAGCCTAACAATTCGTCACTGATTCAAATTCTTAATATAATCCAGCCTTTCTTCAGTCAAAATCTCAACGATCCTTTTTTGGCACATCAAGGCCCTTTCCAAAGGCAAATTCCTCAACTGACAAGAAACATTGTTGCCAAAATGGTACCATTCGTCTTTGATATCGTTGAAATCTTCTAGTTGGACTTGGGTAAGTACTTCATCTGATTGCCTAATAGAACCAAAAGATTTTACTAAGTTTTATTAACAAAATGAAAAATACTCACGCTTCATTAGAATCATTTAAATTTAAATGACTTAATTTCATCTTTTTGACTTGTTGCAAAGGCATATAATCTTCAACTTCTTCTTTAATTTGATCAGCGTTGATGTTGAAAGGAGCAAATTCGAATTGGCCATCATTTTCTTGTTCTAATTCTTCGTTATTTGTCATTTCAGTTTCTACAAGGCTATAGAGGGACTCGGTTGGTTGATAGTACGTCAATTCTTCTTCTTCAGTCTAAAATATTAATGTTATGATATTGTGGTGAGCAAATAATTGGTTTAATAAGTATTACCTTGGCAAGAGTAGTTTTGGCACTATTGATTACGCCACTTAAAAACCTGTCAGCAATTGGAAACCAGGCCAGATTTGTTTTGTATTCTTCCAAAACGAAACTCTGCTTTGATTTTTTTATTTTGTTGACTTCCTGCTGGTATGTGCTCCTGATGTTTTTGATTTTGTTTTTTAGTTCGTTTGAGCCAAAATCTATAAATTCAAAGTTATAGTTGGGTAAAAAGGAATCAAAAATTAACTTACCAGGTAAATTCATTTCGTCAACAATATACTGGATGGCTTTGTCTCTGGCGTTTCGGTTTTTGTAGGCCGGATGTCTGAAGTTCCAAAGGCATTCGGATTTTTCGTAGAGTTCGACGAATTTGATTGTGTCCGATTCTCGCCACTTTTTGCTCAGAGACATGGATTTTCTGTTCCAAACTAGATTGGGAGATGTTGGACATTTTCTACAAAAAACGAGAAATTTGAGAAAAAAAAATTTCATATTGTCTCAGAGGGTGAATGAGTTTGAGAATTTATTATTATTCACCTCAATTTTTATGAGTTTCTAGTGAAATATAAGAAATCAGTATAAAAGTCCTATTGTAATGATAATTGAAAGACACACTATAGTTTTTTTGGAAGTCTGATTAGTTCAGGAATTGACTGTTTCAAGATCTGCATACCAAATAAAGTTCCAAGGCAATTGCCTAATAGTTTGATGAAGGAATCATTGTTTTTCTATTACAAGCTTTTGAGTCTTCTTCAGGGCTTCAAATGGTATTTAGCTGAAATCGCTAGCGTTTACGGTTTTTGAGAAAATCGACTTTGAAGTTCTAGACAAAATGTCGACTAAATTTCAACTTTCGAGTTCAAAATCTTGGAAACCCCAAAAGTTATGAAAACCAATTTGGCATGGCCTTATAGAGAATTTAATGCTCTTTCCAGTGATGTATAGTTATTTTTAATTTGTTCGAAAATGTTGGACGATATAGGCAATTATTCATGAGCGTGTCAAAATTTCAAAAAAATTTCATAATGAGGTGTGGATGTTTTGTCTCACTGAAATTTCCAAAATTTTTTGATGTTAGAGTTGTTTCTGACTAATTTGGACTCGCTCTATGGATTTCTGAAGTCAGAATTGCGAAAAATTCCAAAATAAAAATTTTCAATTTTTTGCACATTTTTTTAAGGGTATCCCCTTTGGATTTTTGATTGGAAATCTTCAATCTTAAATATCTCAATGACCAAAAGCGGTATTGGAACAACATTTTCAGGAAATGGAGCTCTTCAAAAGGGCTTTCAGATGATATTTAGCTGCAATCGTTAGCATTTATACTTTTTGAGAAAATCGAGTTTAAAGTTTTGGACAAAATTTTAACTAAATTTCCACTTTGAGGCTCAATATCTGGGAAACTTTACAATCTACAAGAACCAATTTTGCACAGGTTTATAGAGAATTTAATGCTCTTTCTAATGATATATAGTTATTATTAATTTGCTGGAGAATAATGGAAGATATAGGCAATTATTCATGAGCATATCAAGATTTCAAAAAATAATGTTCAGAGTCAAAAATGAGATTTCCTTTTAGATTTTTTTTTTCATTGAACTTTCTAAATTTAATTGATGTCATAGTTGTTTCTGACTAATTTGGACTCGCCCTATCGATCTCTTAAGTCAAAATTAGGAAAAATCCAAAAACAGAAATTTTCAAGTTTTTGCACTTTTTTTTAAGGGTATCCCCTTTGGATTTTTAATTAGAAAATTTCAATCTTAAATATCTCGGTAATCAAAAGCAATAATGGAACAAAATTTTCAGGAATTATAGCTCTTGAAAAGGGCTTTTAGATGATATTTAGCTGAAATCACTAGTATTTATAGTTTTCGAGAAAATCCAGTTTAAAATTTTGAACAAAATTTCAAATAAATTTCCACTTTGAGGCTCAATATCTTGCAAACTTCACAATCTATAAAAACCAATTTTAGACAGGTTTATAGAGAATTTAATGCTCTTTCCAATGATATATAGTTAATATTAATTTGCTCAAAAATAATGAAATATATAAGCAATTATTCATGAGCATGTCAAGATTTCAAAAAATGTCCAAAGCCAAAAATAAGATTTTCTATTCGATTTTTTTTCTCATTGAAACCTTCAAATGTAATTAATGTTAGAGTTATTTCTGACTAATTTGGACTCGTTCTATTGATTTCTGAAATCAAAATTAAGAAAAATCCAAAAATAGAAATTTTCAATTATTTTGACTTTTTTTTTTTAGGGTAATTTTTTGTTTATTTCCGGGTCTTGATACAAATATGAATTAAATTAGGATGGTTCTAAATCAGAATTGAATGCTCTACACTACAAGATAGAACATGATTCAATTCCATATCTGGAGAAGTTTTATTGGAAAGGTGGGACTGTAAAGTTGAAAATTTGTATGCTGAAAGGTCCAGAGATATCGAGAGCCTGAAATAATCATTGTTTTAATTATTTCCAGCTCTTGATTCGAATCAAATGCCTGGAATAATTACTCAAATAAATAATTTCTCAATATATTAACACGTTGAAGGACAGAGACGCAGATCAGCGTCATTTCCTGAAGTTGTGATGTGACATAATGCTGATATGCATCTTCAGATTGATTGATACAATTTAATGTGAATTTCATATGACCACTGTCACAATACGTTCGAATATCAGTGTCGTAGTGTCACACATTTGAACTTTATTTACTTTCCCAGTACCCCCCCACCCCCTGTAATGTATACCTACCTCCCTCCACAAATAGACACAGAACCCCGTCCAGCGTCTGCATAAATTGGTACCTATTTTACATAAATGATCACTGTCCTTCAACGTGTTAACTTGAAATGCAAAGTCGTTCTAAGTACTTGAAGTATATTTTGGAGATGCTTTGAAAGTTGATTTTCAAGTTCAAGTTTATCATGTTTCTCTGTGAGAAAAGATTTATAATTAAATTTCTGAGTCTCAGATCCACTTCTGATTTATACTATAATATAATAAAAAAACCTTAAATTCAAATATGTATTTTGAAAGTTTCAAGTGGAACGTCTTGAAGTATTTTTGAAATGCTTTGAAAGTTGATTTTCCAAGTTTCTTATGTTTCAATGTGGAGAAAGAATTATAATTATATGTATTTCTGAGTTTCAGATCCACTTCTGATTTATACTATATAATAAAAAGACCCGAATTTATATATTTAAAAAATTTCAAGTCGTTCTAAGTACAACACGATATTATCTCAGGAACTATGAGTCCAAATGAGCTGAAATTTTCACAGATTGTAGTCCGCTAACTGGAATAAAAATCGCTGAAAATTTCAGCTTTCTATCTATAATAGAAAAAAAGTTATGACCTTTCAAATTTTCCCAAAATCTAAATCATAAGGTAGGTACCTTCTTACTAAAACGATGAAATTTCAATTTTTTTTTTGTTGAGATTTTGTTTCCTATGGGTCATTTGTGAACCCCCCAACTCCACATACTAAGTTATTCTTAGATTTGAAGCCGAAATCTATGAAAAAAGGCACTCAGAAAAATTGAAAAATTGATAAATCACCCCACATTGCTTAACATGATTTTATCTCAGGAACTGTAAGTCCAAATGAGTTCAAATTTTCTGGGATTATAGTCCTCTACTAGGATAAGAATCTGTCTAATGTCTAACAAATCAAGAAATTTGGCAACATTTAGACAAATATTAGTCTTTGTACTACATGGTAACAACTATCCTTTAATTTCAGTAAAGAATGCAAATAGGTTGCTGCTTATTTTGGCATCGTCGCAATTTTTATTGTCTTTTGGGACTTTGACGTCATAATCCTTGCTTCGAATCATTTGTTAGAATGACTTATTAACAATGATTTAAATATATATCATCACACTGCAGTTGGTGAAAAAAGGCACCCAGAAAAATTGAAAAATTGATAAACCACCCCAAATTGCTTAACACGATTTTATCTCAGGAACTATAGGTGCAAATGAGCTGAAATTTTCAGGGATCGTAGTCCTTTGAAAGGGATAAAACTCAGTGAAAGTTTCAGCTCTCTATCTATAATAGAAAAAAAGTTATGACCTTTCAAATTTTCCCAAAATCTAAATCATAAGGTAGGTACCTTCTTACTAAAACGACGAAATTTCAATTTTTTTTTTGTCGAGATTTTGTATTCTAATGGTCAATGAACATACCCCAAACTCCATACACCAAATTACTCTCAGATTTGAAGCCGAAATCTATGAAAAAAGGCACTCAGAAAAATTGAAAAATTGATAAATCACCCCAAATTGCTTAACACGATTTTATCTGAGGAACTATAGGTGCAAATGAGGCTGATATTTTCAGGGATCGTAGTCCTTTGAAAGGGATAAAATTCAGTGAAAGTTTCAGCTCTTTATCTGTAATAGAAAAAAAGTTATGACCTTTCAAAGTTTTCCAAATCATAAGGTAGGTCACCCCAAATTGCTTAAACACTTATGAGAATTTGTATTGTAAAGGTTTTGATCATTTCGGGGTAAAAGCTAAAGCCAATTCAACTAGAATAGCATTTAAAATCTCATTACCGTCTCTGCTAAAGCCAAAAATATACTAGAGAAGTTCAAAAAAAGTCTGATTATTTTAGAGCTACAGGTAGGTATATATGGCCATCAGGTAGTTTTTACATTAATTTGAATCTGGCTCAAAATTTTTAAAATTTCAATTACAGACTTTAGGATTTTGATCATATTGCAACATCAATTCAAAAATTTGGATCCAGTTTATACATTTTAAGAAATTGTATCTTATATTTGAGATTATAAAGCTGCGAGCCCTTTGGGCGCCTTACAGAACAATCACCCTATAAAACTAAGGGCCTGTAAAGTAATTGCAGCCTGTTCAAAGGGTATAAGTTTTAAGATCCAAATTTGTAATATCGCAACTTTTCCAAAAACATTATATTAATTGGCAAACTTCACTCAGTCAAGATACCTACTTGTTGGAAATCATGTTCAATCTTCCGAAGAAAAGTGAAAATAATGTAAATTTTGCAACATGTTCAATATTTGCCTTATACGAAAGTTTCATGCTGTTTTAATTATAATTTATGTAGCGTAGTATGTAATATAATATTAAGTAGGTATATCTACTCTGTAATTACAAAAAATATATTACCTAATGTAGATAATTTCAAAAGACTGAGTCCCGACAAGTCACATAATGTGACTTAGGGAATTAACAGCTCTATAATGTTATACCTATACTAGTTTAGCATAGTTTCTACAAATACTTTATACTTAGTATGGATATGTATAGTATATAACAGGTTCTTTGCATATTATATATATGCTTATATGCCATTCTATGTAGGTAATATTTTTTCATTTTCATGTAAGTACCTATAAGTACCTATCTATAGATTCAAATGAGCGCAATTCAAAAACTAGAGACATTTAGAGAATTGCAACCTAGTATTATAATTCAATGTCTCAAGAAAAGAAAAGTTTTCCTAATGTCAAAAGAAAACTGCACATTTTTTGGCTATTGAGAATTTGAAATTTCATACTATGACAATTTTGACTTAACTACTTAGGTACCTACCTACTTTAAGTAAGTAGGTACCTATTGTTATGTGTGAATTTACTAAGCCAAATAATTACAATTTGCAAACGCGCAACAAAAATCTTCCAAATCAAACACGCGCTAGCCTGATAATAAAATATACATAAATAAAAATTCTTACGACTCGGCGGTTATTATTGCGCTCTCCATTCTCGTATATTCAGGTCCGCTTTCAAGGCCCAGCAGGCAAGTAAAATCGATGACGGCGCTCGTTAGTTTTCCCCGCAAACCGGCAAACGACCGTGTGATGACCCTCCTTACTGGCACGATACGAGGCGACTAGCCACAGATCGGATCGACTCGTCCGTTCGTATTCGTATCGGCATATGCGCACAGTCGGCCCGTACGAGTTCACTCCACTCGTCGATAAAATACGAGGGAATCTTCGAAAGAATTGGAGTCGTTGTTTTAGAAAGTTTCGATTCATTTTAAGCCTTAATTCGAGCTTGAAATGATTTTTTTACATGAATACAAATTCTTTAAAGTCTGATAAAACTTTTCCTTATTTATGTTCTATAGGTATTTTAAGTCCTTTACATACATTGTGGGTCCTTGAGAAGCTTAATTTAGAGTATAAAATGGTTGTTCTATATACCCCGAAGGGCTGGGCACCATTAAGGATATAAAATTCTCAAAAGTAGTTGTTTAAAGTCAGATAAAACTTTTTCTGATTTAAGTTTTAGATATTTTAAGCCCTTTAGACATATTGTGGTCCACAATTCTCAAAGACCCACAAGTTGTGGGTCCTTAAGAAGCTTAATTTAGAGTATAAAGTGGATGTTCTAGACCCCGAAAGGCTGCTGGGGATCCAGTTGAGGATATAAAATTCTTAAAAGTAGCTGCTTAAAGTCAGATAAAACTTATCCTTATTTAAGTTCTAGGTATTTTAGGCCCTTTACACACATTGTGGGTCCTTGAGAAGCTTAATTTAGAGTATAAAGTGAATGTTGTAGACCCCGAAGGGCTGGGCACCAGTCAAGGATATAAAATTCTGAAGAATAGTTGTTTAAAGTCAGATAAAACTTTTCCTTATTTAAGTTTAAGGTATTTTAAGCCCTTTACACACATTATGGGTCCTTGAGAAGCTTAATTTAGTGTATAAAGTGAATTTTCTAGGACCTATAGGAGTGCCCGAAGGGCTCGGTACTAGTTGAGGATACAAATTATCAAAAGTATCTTTTCTTATTTGAGTTTCAGGCATTTTAAGCCCTTGAGAAGCTTAATTTAGTGTGTATAAAGTGGATTTTCTAGGCCTGTGGCGTACCCAAAGGGCTAAAAGTTTTGCATTTTTGTCTGCTTGAAACATGGAAAAACATGTCAATATATATTAACTATGAAAAGAGCATCTTTTAGACGTCACAGAAATGATTCAAATTTACTCAAAAAGTGGCCTTTTGTCTTGAAACATAAAAAATCATGTAAACAATAGATGTTTAAGTCTCTTATCTTGTATTATAAACTTATATAAAACCAAATTTGTTCAAAAACCTTTAAAGAAACTTTATAATTTTGGAGTCCAAAACTCACTCTTGCAATTATCATTTTCTACAAATCTCTTAATACTTTGTTTGAATATACTTAGGTATTTTTAAACCACAAAAAAAAAATACAAATTCCAAATTCAGGTCATTTAACATGCCAATCCGATTCCCAATACGTTTTTGACTTTTGACTACTTTTCCGGAGCGTTTAATTTGAATTCCAATCACGACTCTCCGGCAGTTTTCGTATAAATTTCCAAAGTTAAAATAGAAGCAGATGGGGAAAAAGGAAAGTTCGAACCGCCGATTCTCCAGCATCCAGCAGATAGTTTCGATAGGGACGATAAAATAATATTTTTTCATTATTGTCCAAGCAATGTAGATGATGATTTAATATTTAATTTTAGTGTTTTAAATTTAATTAAATCGAATATTTTGTTTTTGCATTGTTTTACAATTTGTCGCTTGGATAATTTTTGAACAGCTGTAATAAATTCAAAAGTAATTGTAGATATATGAAATTTCTGCATAGAAAAGTTTAATTTGATTATAATAATAAAGGGTTTATAGTTGATGAGAATCTTCCGAGCAAAAGTGGATTTTAAGAGTAATGTATTCTGACTTATGGGCGAATGTAAATTGAAATTGGTGCAGGCACATTGTATTTTATTGTTCGAAGCTTTTTGCTTTTGCTCTCAGAAAGACAATTCAACGAATCAAGAGCCGATAATAATGAAAATTTGAACTATTCCTGGCTCTTGATTGCATTTAAACAAACTGTCCCAACAATTTTGGAAGTTCTTGTATCTGGGACACTATATTAGATACAAATATAGACCATGTAACTGAATCCAAGAAAGGGCTATTTCTGAATGACTCCAGATGTGTACATAGTTTATGATAATTTTTCCTTTATAAACCAGGCATTCTTCTTCCGATAATAAGTTTAGCAAGTACCCACATAACAGTGAAAGAACATTCATATTCTCAGAATATTCCCTCAAAGTGCTTTTTGGAACATTCTTTTAGGAATGTTCAATGAATATTCTAAGATTGTTTCTATTGAAATATTCGTTTTTGAACGTTCTATTTATGTACTAGGAATGTTGCTTCTATGCACCTACCTGAAAGATTGTGCTAAGAACCTACTTTATATAACATTATTTGAATATTCTCATACGAACATTATTATAATGTACCCTTCGGCTAATATCTCTATCAAGTATTAAGAAGAATATACCTACCAAGTTGTACTGAGAAGTTTATGTAGGTAGGTACCCATGATAAGACTATTTCCATATTGTTCACCTAATTATCTAAAGTACCTACTCAAAAACTTAATTGAACAATTAAATAATAATGCTCTATCTAGAACCGACTAAGAATATTATAGGTATATTATTTTTCATTTGCTTTGTAGGACTTCCAAAAGAGGGAGCCACGCGCTATTAAAGATCTACATCTTGCCTCGCGTTTGAATCACCTTGGAACCTGTTTCTCTCAGTTGGCATGCTTGGGCGAGAGCATAACAAGCTCGAAACCGGAGTTTTGGTTAAACACTTGTGTTTTCCAGAGAAATTTTCCAACAATTCTTTCACTGCCTTTAATATAAAAAGGACTAGCAGGAGCATTATTTGGAAAAGAAAATTAACATTCCAAGTATATCCTTAGAATCAAACAAGAATGTTATGTCTAGGATTCATATTGAGAATGATATATGTAGATATATTCTAAGAATATTTCAAGCATATTGGTATAATATTCTTTTGAGAACATAACTAATGTCATAGAAACATTCTTTGAATATGAGAATATACATTTCGAGCATATTTTTAGAATCAAACAGGAATATTCTTTTCAGGATATACTGAGATAGAGGTGGGCCAACCTGCGATTTTAATGGAGCTGTGACAAGACGTGACTGCTCCATTCGTGTCACTGTGACAAATAGCAGTGATTTTTTGGAGCAGTTTTACGCTAGTTGGCGGCCGTACTGCTAATATTAAGTTAATGCTACAGCGAAACATGGCATAATCGCAGTCTACAGTCACGGCCGAGAGAGATGTTCCAGTTTCCAGCTCGTCCTCTGCAGTAGCAGTTTTTATTTTGCGTGACCGCCATACGATTTATAGTATTATATTATTTCATTTGCATCACTTAGCTCGAGTTTAGTCCGCGCTGCATCGGTCGGAGCTAAAGCGGGCAGTGACAAAATGTCATTGCTACTTGAATGTGACTGGAGCAGACTGTGACTGTGACAGACGAGTAGCAGTGACAAAGTCACAGTTCGTGAAATCGCAACCCACCTCTATACTGAGAATCTCATAGGTATATTCTAAGAATATCCTAATGGATTTCCCAGGAAGTTCTTGGGTATTGCAAGCAGTATTTCTACAATCTTTTCTCAGAACATTCTCAGGACATTCGCAATGGTTTTGGCGAACATTCTAGACACATTCTTTCTAAAAAAAGAACATTCTTAATACATTCTAAGGATGCAATTTTGTTATGTGGGTAGTCCCTTTAGTGGAATAAGATTCAGTGAAAATATCAGCTTTCTATCTATATTAGAAAAAAAGTTATGACCTTTCAAAATTTTCCAAAATCTAAATCATAAGGTAGGTAGGTACCTTCTTACTAAAACGATGAAATTTCAAAATTTTTTTTGATGAGATTTTCTGTCCTAATGTTCCCTCGTAATACCCTGAACTCCATAAACTACATTACCTATTCCAAGATTTGGAGCCGAAATCTATGAAAAAAGGCATTCAGAAAAATTGAAAAATTGATAAATCACCCCAAATTGCTTAACACGATTTTATTTCAGGAACTATTGGTGCAAATAAGCTGAAATTTTTAGGGATTATAGTCCCTTTACTGGGATGAGATTCAGTGAAAATCTCAGCTTTCTATCTATAATAGAAAAAAAGTTATGACCTTTCAAAGCTTTCCAAAATTGAAACAACAACAATTTGGTTAATTTGAAACAAAGTGATGAGGAATTTTCAAATCTGATAAACTGGGGATCTGGTCAATGAAATTCAACCATTTGGCTGACTCACGCTCACCCAACTGTTGATCCCAATTAAGTTTTTGGTCCAAAGTCCAAAGCTTTTGCATTAAAAATTTCCTACAATTATAATATGGAGTTTTATTATTCCCAGTAGGTCGAACATTTTGTGCCAAGCTTGACAAAATCTTTCTTTTAGTAATAGGAGGAGAATAGGCAGTCTTTGGGAGTGTGACTGTTAAATGATCAGAAAGTGGGTGCCATGCTTAGGTGCCATGATAGACCTAAGACCAGTATTTAGGGTATCATAATGTAGATATTTCTCTGTCATATAAGAATTATCACAGAACTTATCCAAGAATATTTAAGATTTTTTAATAATCTAGATACAAGTATGTTAATGATTTTTTTTTTCATGAACTGTTTCTAGTACCTATTAATTTGCAATTTAGTGAGAAGAGAAAGGAAGGTTTGAAGCATATTTAAGTAAATTTTCAAGTTGAGTGAGTCAGAACTTTGAAAAATACAGCCTGGAATAGTTTGATGTAGAAATGAATTTTTCAATAATCTACATAGAGGACGCATCAAAAACAACTCCCAGTTTCGTGCTAAAACTTGCTTCTTTTATCACACAGTGGTAGGACATAAAGTACTTATTATTCTCATTATTTTCATTTTTTAAAGAGAAAGAGACATATTGATCATGATTTAGCTCCACGTGCTCATCAATGAATTAATTGTATTCTTTAAATAGGAAGGAATCTTTTCCAAACCGTTTTTCTTA